AATTTTAACTGTTATTCCGTTATATTCTATAGGCATATATGATGTAAATATGTAATTAATCATATATATGTAAACAATTATTAATTAGGTATAGGTTTTAATATTAAGATTGCCAAAAAATAGTATTTATTAATTTAAAAAAAAATAATGATAGTTAATTAAGTGTAATTTTTCTAAATTAAAATGAAATTACCTACCAATAAATGTTATAACTGAATTAATATTTTTAATTTTTAATTTATTTAAATTTATTTATCAAACATAGCTTATATTTGTACCCTTATTTGTATATATATATATATGTATATAAATTAATAATTCACTACAAAACAAATTACAATAATATACAATATCATGCATCCTTGTATGTACCTATATTTTAATATTATGATGTATATACCTAATATAGTCAGAAGATCATTTGTTTAATACATAATTTATAGTAGGTGTAGTTATTTTGTACCTGTACTATTTAACATTTTGTTTTGTTTTAATTTAGATACTTTTAATAAATATATATGATGAATGTAACAAAATATTCAGTTGTACATTTTTATGATGATAACACAGTCGAGGCTGTACCTCAATTTTGGTTTCGCAAAAACAATGGTACGTGTGCCTGGCCAAAAAAAACAAAAAAATTTCATAAACTTGTTGAAAAACACTGTATACCAAATGAAATGGAATATGATTTCTTAGAAGCTAGAGAGATGTGTTCAGGAATAGGTAATTTAAGTTAATTATAAATGGAAATTTTTAAATATATTTTTAATATAATTTTGGATATTTCTTCATTATATAGAATCCCTGATAAAAACCAGAGAGAAAGCAAAAAAAGCCATGTTTGTTTCTGACCTTTCTGATGATGATGATAAAGCTAATCGAAAAATCAAGCATAAGAAAACCCCATATTCAACAGCATCTTTAAGTTCATGTCCAATTTATTTAGGTAATATATCTACTCATCTATTTATATCTTCCTGTTTAATGATATATTTTTTTATATATAATCTGTGTATCTATTAACATTATAGATTCTGATGTTACTGAAAATAATGCAGCAATTAATACATCAATAAAACCAAACACTAAAATGATTAATCATGATGCACAATTTCAGTCACCTTCTCCAAAAAAATATAAACAAATAATTGAGAGCAAGCCTAATGGTTGGTCTCCATCTCCCCTAAAAGCATCAGCTTCAAGTAATTATACGTATAATTGCATATTAAAAATGTTAATTGTATAAATATAATTTCATTGATTTTAAAAAGTAGTATTCTAAACAATGTTTTTCTTATAAAATTAAATGTCATTGGCAATATATTTTAATAATATTTAAAATTCATATTATATTTACTAATTTTTGTAATTGAATTATAAAATATTATAATATGGTCAATGGTCATATTTTATTAAACACATATATAAGTACTTATTATTATATTTCATTTTCTAGAAGTAGCAAGAAAATTATCTTACGATAAAAGTCCTAAGTCAACATCTATCAAAAAACCAGGTGAGATATATAGCCTGTTTATGTATGTATTTATTGTTACCTAGTTATTTAATAAATGTAAATTATTTTACTTGGCAGTAAAACAATTGACGATTTTTGATAAACTATTATCTGATGGCGACGATAACATGTCTGCAGATGGTGCTGATGGTTATTATATGACAAAAATAAATACTCCTATTTCATCATCAAAAGTAGAAATTATTAATTCTTCAGTGACTGATAAGAGTCAAGATAAAAGTATGTATATTTCTAAAAAGTATAACACATATTATATAATATATAGCACCGGTGAAACTCGCTGTAAGTGAATACCCTAGGTCGGTGAAACTCGCTGTATGTGAATACCCTAGGTCGGTAAAACTCGCTGTATGTGAGTACCCTAGGTCGGTAAAACTCGCTGTATGTGAGTACCCTAGGTAGCTGAATATCGTTTGAAGTGAATTTCCTAGGTCGGAGACAGGACTTAAGAATACAGCAGTTAGAAAAGTCTAGTAGGCAAAACCAGTGATAACGACGAATGAGATGTTGGTACCTCTGATTTTGTGGCTCTACACTTTGGCGGTGTCGTTTTAAACGCGTAAATAATAAGTCTAATTCGAGCATCTAGTGGTCGGTCATTTCATTAAATTCACAGGAGTAATACACCTTGTCCCGTAGCTTGCCCTGTGCTTTTGTGCATGGAAAATAAATAAATACATTCCGAAATGGTAATTAAATGTCTAGCTATCAGTCATTACCCGATGCTTGTCGTTACTCGACTGGGCAATCCGCGTAGCTTGCCCTGTGCTTTTGTGCATGGAAAATAAATAAATACATTCCGAAAAATTAATTAAGTGTCTAGTTATCAGTCATCGTCCAGTGAATATCGATTCCTGACAGGGCAATCCGCCTGTGGCGGATTGTCATACCTCCTGACGTCAGTGCTCGAATTGGGGGGGGACGCAGGCGGACGGAGTCCGCTTTCATTTTTTTGGAGGTTTTAGCGTCCCCCTTCATTTAAATAAGCAAAGAACGCTGAAAATGCGTCCCCCCTAGAGATATTTTCTTTCGAACGGTGTATTTGAATTTTGTTTTCGATTATTTTTATTTTCTATAGCAAACTGCAAATTAATGGTTATTTTTTCCTAGAAAACGGTTATCGTTGACGACAATCACGGATCAAGATAAAATATGAAAATAATATAATACTATCGATAACTATCGAGCTGATATGAGCACAGTGGTTATTGTTTTTCATAGAATACCGAATGATTATTATCAGCGCGTTGGTTTTCGTTTCATCGTGTTCACTATGACTGTTCATCTTATATTCTGTTGTTAACATTCTCATTGCACGTATAATAATTTTAAAGCGAGTTCGGTTATATAGCCGTATAGGTGTTTCTACTTTTGAGAACTTTTTGTTTAATCTTTAAGTCAATTAAAATTAACACCATGAGTGAAAAAAGAAAAACATTATATGATTTTTTTCAAAAAAAAAAAACCAAAAATTAGTGATAGTGACAACGTGATTGTTGGGAATACAACAGGTAAGTGAATAACCTATTGGCTAGATAAATATAAATTGCAATGAACTATTAATCATAAATTTCTCATCTTATTAACATTTTTGTTGAATATTTAGATGGATTGAATTCGCGAGACGATTCAGTGGATCTTCCTTCGGCTGCATCTCAAGAAGGTAATACTAATAATACTATAGTACCTAAGTATTTTTTTACAAATTAAACTAATCTGTCTTATAAATTATTTCTATTCTAAAAGACCATTTTTGTCATTATTTATAAATTATCATAAATATTATTATGTTTTTATACTGTTGTAATTTATAATGATACCTATCAAAAAAATAAGTTAATGATTATTAATTTTTTTTTTCTAGGAAAAGAGAAGTCTTCAGTTGATTTGGAGGAAATTAGTTTAAATTTAGGTACCTATTTAGTTTTTTCAATTATAACAAAATTGAATTGGTATGTGTTTTATAGTTATAACTTATAAGTAATTAATATAATAACATTTATATTACAATTTGATATTAGATGTGTGCCTAATGACTAATATGTTATAATATTATATGTGTTTAAAGTGATAATAAAATATTTTGTATTTAACCTCTAAAAATAAAGTTGTTTTGTTATTTTTATTGTTATACTTGTTTATTATTAATTATATGTGTAGCTTGGTGTACATTGTAGCCTGTGTTTCTAATTTTATATTTGTTAATAAATTGGTAATTGTACATTTAACTTGTAGTTATAATAAAGATGTTGCATAGCTGTGTCATACATTATAATGGTTTTTTTACTTAATTTTTATATAAATATAAAGGTGAATGCTTGTGTTAAATGTTGTTATTAAGCAATTTGTGTTTTGTTAACAAGTTGTTGAATATATGATATATCTATAATGATTAAGTTTTTTTTATCAATGTAATATTTTATTTGAATATTATATTGATTTTATTAAAATCAGTATAACATTTATAATTAAAATCATTTTAATTAATTCAATTAATTAATTAATTGTATTGTAAATTAATTTTAATTTGGATGATTAAAATAGGTAACACATGGAGTAATTTTTTTTTAAATTTTTTTTTTTTTTACAAAAATAGATATACAATATAATGTCCTCAAAACTAGTACTACTGGTATTATTCATCAGCCAACTAACTGCATTAGTGACAACGAACCTCCTGAATGTTGGGACTTGAAACAAATAAAATATTTTTGTGAAGAATATCCTTGGATATATTTTAAAAATAAAAAATTGGGTTGTAAATTATGTCTAAAGGTGAATTTAAATATTGAAAAGAAACCAGAGTCTCATGTTCGAGTATCATCGGAATGGACTCAATGTAATATTGCTCCATCTGGGGATACCATTACCAAACAACAAGCTAGCTTGAGAAAAAAAATTTCGAAACATAAAGGGAGTCAGCCACATATTTCTGCCGAGAGCATAATTGAACGTAGTAAGCAAGAAACTTTTGAATTGCATGTATTAAAAACTACAAAATTGCAATTTGAAACAACAGAAAAAATATTTCGCACCGCCTACTTTATTGCTAAAAATCAGCGTCCATATGTCGACATGCCAAAATTGGTTGACCTACAAGTTTTAAATGGTATTTCAATGGGTAGAGTTTTGCAATCTGATAAATCCTGTGCCACTATAATTGATCATATTGCAAATGAAATGAGGATTAAAATGTGTAAAGATATCATTGAAAATAACAGGAAATTATGTCGACGAATCAACAACATTAAGCAAAAAAACAATGTTGGTAATATGTTTAAGGTGTGCCATTGGAGATGCTCTTGAAGTCAGTACTTTTTTTTTTGATATAGTCGAATTGGATTGTACAACGGCTGAATCGATAAAAACCGCTATACTTGACAATTTATTTAAATATAATATTAATTTGGGGTTTCTGAAAAATAATTTAGTGGGCTTTGTAAGCGATGGAGCATCTACTATGTTGGGTAGGAAAGCTGGAGTTGGTGCTTTACTTCTAAACCATTTTCCTGACCTTATTGTGTGGCATTGTTGCAATCACCGGTTAGAACTTGCCGTAAGCGACACACTGAAAGAAGTAAATGGTGTCAACCATTTCCAATGTTTTTTTGAAAAATTATATTCTCTTTATCACCAGTCTCCGAAGAATATGAGAGAACTTAATGAATGTGCAGAATCATTAGAACAAAGGATTTTAAAGATAGGAAAAATATTTACTATTCGATGGGTAGCATCTAGTTATAGAACGGTTCGTGCTGTATGGAATAATTTTGCTGTCCTACATAAACATTTTCTTGAAGCTTCTTTGGATAATACAAGAGACACAAAAGAAAGATCAAAGTATGCAGGTTTAAATAAAATGTTAACGTCCAATGATTTTATACTGAATCTAGGAATATTACTTGATGCTTTACATGAGTTGTCTGATTTATCATGTCAACTACAAAACCGAGATTTGAGTTTGACTTCAGCGCATACTGTAATTGAGAGAACAATTCGTGTTATTGAAAGCATGGTTGAAACGGCGGGACCAAAACTTAAAGAAGTAAATTTAGCGTCTCAGGAAATGAGTTTTAAAGGAGTAAAACTTACATTTCACAAAAGCGTTCAAAAAATCAATTCTTCTCAATTTTTTAGAAGTCTTTCAAACAATCTTAAATCAAGATTATTCACTACACAGTCATCAAATTCTTCTAATAATGCTTCTTCTAAATTTCAAGAAGAGTATGACCAATTATTGTCTGACTTAGATATTTTTGTTCCCAAAAATTGGCCCGATAACTTCAATATACAATATGGTGATGATTGTATACGCCGATTGTCTAAAAAATTTAAAGTTGATGAGATCACTTCAGTAAGAGGCTTCCGTCAATTCAAAGACACAAAAGAAGATAATGTTGAAGATCTTAAACTACTAACTACTGCAATTAAGTGTATAGCAATTTCATCTTCTGAATGTGAGCGTTCATTCAGTTCGATGAATGAAATTGTATCCCCTAAAAGAAATTCTTTGGGATCAGTACATATTTCATCATTAGTGTTTATAAATTGTGTTGGTCCGCCAATTGACAAGATTAACACAACAAAATGGATTGAATCGTGGGTGAAGAAAGGCAAACGAACAGCTGAAGAAGAAAATTGTCCTAAAAGGATCAAAATTACTGAAGAAAATGCATACAAGTCATTGTGGAATTTAATTAAAGAATAATACTTATCTCTGTAATTAGTTATATTATAATTTGTTTTTAAAATAAGTTTATAGTGATAGTAAATAAATGTTATGATTATACCTACTACGGCTTTATGTACTACCTTATAGTGCCTTACTAAATGTGTGGGGGTGGGGGGACAAAGTCCACAACGGGTTACTTTATAATTTATCTGCTATGGAACGGTGTTTTCTGAACTAAAACCAGCGTCCGTCCTCAATTTTTTTTCCAATTCGAGCACTGCCTGACGTCGAAGGCGTTGTGCTGTTTAGTACGCAAAAAAGTTTAAGTCGAATCTAGCGCTCGATTTCTCAAGCGATCACCAATGAAAATCCAGTTAAACGCGTTTAAACCTCCCAGGTAGGCAATCCGACTGCGTCGGATCGCGGACGATGTGGGCGTAAAGGAGAGATTTTAAACATATTATGGAAAACGCATGTCAAACGTTAGGGAGTTGAAGATCACAAAACTATATATATTTAATCATTTTTTTGATAACAGAAATTACAATTAATTAACACAAAATTTAAAAATTTAAAAAAAAATCAGAATACTTAGTCAGTTATCGTACAGAACGGATTTCGCGGGAACGTGTTTCGAACCTGCCTACCTAACGTCGGAGAACCTCGTCCCGTAGCTCGTTACGAAAACGGCAATCGAGTGTCTAGGTATCAGTCATCGCCCGTACGGTGAAAGTCGATACCTGCTGAAAGGGCAATCCGATTTCCGCGGATTGGATGAATTTCCCGTGGCTCGCCCGATGCTTTTGAGTATGGAAAATAAATAAATACACTCCGAAAGGGTTATTAAGTGTCCAGTTATCAGTCATTGCCCATCGAATATCGATACCTGACAGGGCAATCTGGCTGCGGCGGATTGTCATACCTCCTGACGTCGAAACCGTTGTGCTGTTTAGTACGCAAAAAAGTTTAAGTCGAATCGAGCGCTCGATTTTTCAAGCGATCACCACTGAAAATCCAATTAAACGCGTTTGAACCTCCCAGGTAAGCGATCCGACTGCGTCGGATCGCGGACGACGTGGGCGTAAAGGAGAGATGTTAAACGCATTATGGAAAACGCATGTCAAACGTTAGCTAGTTGAAAATCAAAAAAACTATAATTAATATTTTTTTTCATATTTTATAGATGGTTAGATATCGAAAAGAAATAATATGCGCTTTCTGTGATGACAAAATATTTAAAAATCAAAAGAAAAAAAATTTGCTACTGTTTTACCCCTGTATCTTTCAAACGTAAGCGACTGAAAGGCTAAACATATAAAATAGTGAATTAACCGTCAAAACCGAGTGAAACAACTGTATCGTCATCAATAGAAAGTTCTCGGGCTATAATATAAATTGCATATCACATAATATGTACATTTGAATCGTGCATACTGTTAGCAATAACTATAATTGGTTTAATTGAATACTATTGTGTAATTTAACGTTCGTGTAAAGTATATTGTAATATAATATATTTTGTCATCATCAATCAAGCAGTATAAAATGTAATGTGTGAGATCAAAAATCGTTTTTAAGATTTGAAAAATATTATATGAGTAGTAATGTCATATCAAAACGAAAATAGCAATTAATAATGATCGAATTAAATGAAAAAAAAAATGCAAAAAATCCCGTACGTGTAGTTTCTTATGGGGCCGCCCGGAAAGCGCCGGACCGGGATTCGAACCTGCCTACCTAACGATGGGGAACCTATCCTAACACCTATCGACTACCGCTCGAGTTGAAAACCGTTACCGAATCTCGAGCACTTAAACCGTTTTAGAGATGCGACAAATGCTACATTATACGTCGTTTGACCCGTACAATTTTTACGATTCGCGTGTCACGAAACCGTAAATCGCATATTTATTGTCGTTTAGAACGTTTCCGACGTATTCGTTTACATTTTTTAATCGTATACGTCTCAACGACGTACCGAGTTTATCATCACATACACATATCACGATATCCCCCCCAAAAGGTATGCGATTAAAGGCATTACGACGACTGAAGAGCAACGATTTAGCGATTTTTTTGTATATAATAAACACGATCTGACGTACGTCAACAACGGTACGCACGTTTCTATTTTATATGATATTATTATTATATATATATACACATATATAATCGTATTTCGTACGCTATCGAGACGATAAGGTCGCTGTTCGATCTTATCGCGATAGATATCATCGACGATTTAAAATAAATTGACCGAGTGTTTCGAGCGCTTTATGTGACCTGATAACGTCGTTCAATACCCATGTGGTGCGAAGATTCCTCATTTATCGGTGTTACATGTCAAAAGGGCCTTGGGTGTACCTGACCAAAATTCTTATTGTTATCTCGTTCATTAAACTAGCCAGACCTTTTGGTAAGTATCGGCTTGTTTGTACATGACTATACTACGTTCGGCATCGCCATATGACGAACGTAGATAAAGAATCTTGAATGTCACTTCATGAGTTGATTATGCACGATTGCCTATATATATCATAATAAAGATGACCATTCAGATAATTTCGAATTAGAATTTGGGGCGAGAGTTTATGTGGATGGGAGCGTGGTGACCGTTGTCGGAAGGTGTGACCAGGCGAGAACTATTTCCTATACCAGACGGGTCATCAGTACGCTGGATAGTTGATAGAATTTGTCATTGACGCTTTCATAAGTTTGTCTCTGCCATATTTTGAAATATAATTCAATTCAGCCTCTATAGTTTCGCTCTTCGTTGTCCTCTCGTACTTTTGCGTTTGAACTTGTCTGAAGCGTCCAAATTACGCTCATTTTTCAGTGTGAGTTGTTCATACTCACCATGTATCTTTATTATCTTTGATATAAGAACCGAACCTAGTCAATTGACCTGAGTTGTCCTCGAAGATGAGAGAACTATTATTTCAGCATTATGTTAGATGCGATTATAACAGTGATCAATATGGAAGCCCAGCTGACAAACGACTATATTAAATAAGGTACGAGTCAACACCATGTACTTTATGTACTATTTTACCTTGTGCTTGTACTGCGCGCAAATCCCAACACCGATTTTATAAAGGAAATAGAAATTAAAGCTCCTGACTGATTTAGCGAATCCAAATCAATGATGCTGTGAATCACAATTGCGATCACATGTGTACTTGTTAACATAGCGCGCATTAACGAGACGAATAAAAATAAAATAAAAACCATATTGAATACTTGCAGCGAAAAATAAACTAAACCTTGCGCACTGTTTTTGGTGAATATTTACGAACTTGATGCACACCGATTCTTGATGCATCCGGTCGATGGACCAAATGTTGACTTGTGAAATAATGAAAATAACTCATTACGTAAAATACCTCTGGTTTAGTTCTATAAACGAGAGTACCCGTGCATGGACTACTAGTTCATTATGTGTATGGATAATGTGTTCGACATTGCATGACTAATCTTTATCGGCGGCGGTCGGTGCCTCCCATGCAGATACTGCATGTATCAAATAATACT